ACGAATATCTCCGAATGCTCCAGTTATGTCTGTCTAGATCGGGAAATCAATATGATGAACGACTTAGCTCCAGAGTGGAGCACGAGCAAGCAAGCGGCTTGGGGAGCTTTCGAGAGCATCGAGGATGTAGTGAAAGAACAAAGAACACCCGACTCTGTGCCCACCTTTTCGACTCAACGGTACATCCTGCTCTAACCTATGGTCAGAACCCTGGTCGCTGTGTAAGCAGGATGAAAGGTCACTCAGCGTTATTGGACGGTCGGTCGAAAAGACGATGCTAGGGGTGCCTCGTGTCATACAAGAAAGGGAAGGGATCCGAAGCTCCGATCTACATTAACGACCAAAAATCAAAGATGCTATTCTATACTTCAAACTGTCGAAGATAAGATGGGTGGGACACGTAATGCGTATGAACAACAACCGATGAACAAGAGCCGCTGGTGACTGAATTTCTCAGGATGTCAAACGTACGGCGGGATGACCAGTGACCCAATAGTCAGGGGTCTTCACAAAAACCCTTAGAGAAAGGTATGATGATGAGCGGTTCCTAGAGCGAGCAGAACTCACTGGGCCACTCTTAACACGCAATATCGAGAAATGGAAAATTAACTGGCACCAGCTCATGTCACTTGCCTGTAAACGGTGCGACAAATCATGTAAGTGAAAGTTGGTTAATGGGATAAGCCGTGATTGGTTAGACTTCATTGAACCAATCAGATCACATGGAGTTTTTCATTGATAAAGAATCATCATCTTAAGAACCATGAAGCACTGATAGCTGACTGTTCATATAGTAGTATAGGATTTAAAGAGGAGAGAGATGGAGTACAACTGCGTAGCCTATCTCCAAGATGTCTGTTTTCGACGAAATCTGTTGTTTTACTGTCGATAATGGTAGTTCAGTTACTTCGTTCTATAGCTTTTTCATCTAAAGTTCTTTGTTAATGACTCTTTTTTGGCCCATCAAGATGAGAAGAGCAAGTCACTGATTTCTCGCTACAGTCACCAAATCAAAGGCTGTCGTCTTTTACCAAACCATTTTAACCACCCACATGAACAGAATGCTTTTGAAACCCCACCATAAACTGGCTTCTATACTGGGTTATTCCACCCGATCTGAGCAAAAGGAGGCAGAGATCTCCAACATTTTTTCAGTCAACTAAACACCGAACTGTGTGCAACCAGGTTTGAAACAAAAGCCAATTCTTATGTTTTTTAGTGGAATATCCTATATCTTAAGGTGTTTACTTTTTTATTTACTGTCTACTACAATCTTCACGGCAGGGTACTATGCAAAATCAGCCACAACCATGCTGAGATATTGGCAAAACTTGGACCCTGGGCCAGATCGAACCACAATTTCCCTTCCCGGGAGCTCGCGAATTCCACACTGCACCACGGAGGCTTTTGCTGTGCGTTTCTCTCAGCTAGTTTTCTATCTACCACGGCCATCAGCAATCATCCGTCCACGAGGTCCAAGTTTTGCGAATATATTAGCATCGTTTTGGTTTATATCTTAAGGGTAACACGTGCTTTAAAATTAATGTACTTTCACACGAAGAAACCAGTGCTCACAAATTATTCATCATGTATCACCCATTCACCTGTTGTTCATCGACCAACTCGAGCGAAAATCAGTAAATTCATCATTTGTCACCATAATAAAGCAGCTCCATATACTGTGCCCACACAGAAAAGTAAGAAACGCTTTTCTGCATATTTTTACCAGTTATGACGACACTAGCTCTAAGTAGCTTGTCAGGTTCTCCCGGTCTACAAATAAGTTTAAATGCTAGCACCCTACTTTGAGCTTCCTCTCATTAATGAGTAAAGTATTTCACAGTTCTCGAAAGCATTTTACACGTAGGCATATCTACTTAAGTATGCATGAATGTTCTTACGTGTAAAAGAAGATAAGAGATAACCTGGCGAAGCAGTGTCACACAGCCCATCCTTTGCTTTTAGTTGCATCTCGTGAGAAACCTATGTTTGCCCTAGTTTTCCCCATATACTTTTTCTCCCAGTTGCTTATCTCTACATCTTTGTTGCACGGTTTTCATAGATAACCAACTACGGCACATAGCATGGGATTTAGCCAACTAGGACACAGTGTGGGCTCGATCCTCTCGAAAGGTCTACCCAACATGAAAAGTCCGACATTTTCACGCGGAATCACTAATTCAGCTCCATTGTGCCATGGGAAAAAAACGGGATTTATTATGGTCTGGTGTCCGATTACTTGATGATTAACACAGCTCAGCTACACTTCCACACTTTAACTGATCTATCTTTTTAGGCCGTATCAACCCTTCTGTTGCGCAGCGAGAGACTTCACAGTGCAGAGATCAGTGGAAATGCAAAGTAAATCCACTAAATGAAATTAAAATAAATATATTATAGAAAGACATAGTAAAGAAATAAATAAAGGTAGAAATAAAATCGATAAATATAAATGAAGAAACTACTAGTCTTGGAAACATGGGCTTATCCTGACACTGCAGTGTTGTTCAGTGAAGTTTTCAGACGCTTCTGGGACTTCCTCGACTTCTTCGTCGGCGTTCTTGGGATAATCTCCGTTGTTGTGTACCTAATCCGACACTTCTACTTTGAAATGGTGAGCCATAGTAGAAACGAACTACCACTCAACAAGAACTTCTCATCATTTCTTACTACTAGTTTTGATGTCAATTTGTAGAAACTATAGCTAGTGAAGAGTGAGGATGCTACTCAATAATATTCGTGTGAGAAAACTAGTTCCCTATTTAAGCCATAGCTTAGCGCAACTAACTGCTTCACCACCTCAAGTAATCATCAAAGGAAGAATGAGATATATATGATGCACTAACACTGTGTTGTTTATCGTCTCTATGAGTGAACAATCAGAAATGTTAGGTTGTCCAGAAGTTGACGTAAATCATAGAGCAACCTCCTGCTTGAAAAAAGTTTCATGCATTTAAGTTTCTATTAGATACCAGTTAGAGATGCATGTAGTGTAATTGATTAGAGGTGCTCTGCAACATAGACGTGATCGCGTGCTCGATCCATCACCCCGTACTCATCAAGGTATGTATCCATGTATTAATGCGAAAGGGCGCGTGTAACGCAGTGGTCGGAAGCACCCTGCAATGCACATGGGATCGATCCCTGCGATCCAGGCTCACCAAGCCCTTCACCGCTCCTAGGTCAGCAAATTAGTATCAGGTTTGCCTTGGAAGATAGCAACAGTGATTTTATACATCTTTAGGCCAGTGTAAGTCCTTGTATAGACCATATCTATCTATCTATCTATCTATCTATCTATCTATCTATATATATATATATACATATATATATATGTATATATATTTAATCACCTCTAATGGTCTTTGGAGAAGTGGACTGCATAGCGCATCCCTCAGGGATTGACCATCGCCGGAAACCCTTTTCACCGTTTCAAGCTTGGATATGAGCTTTCAGTGATACCTCGCATTGGCAATATTTCATTAGGCAAAGAACATTTTAAAACTTACGTGAAAATGAGGATTTGGGGTATAACAAAAGCCAGACGGATTCTGTGCTGTCGATTATGAAGAAAATGGAACGTTAATTAAAGTTCGGTTGTATGTGACACGCTATGGAAATGGATTCTATACAACAACTTACGAATACCTACTCACCACTTTACACCACCTCACTTAGATAAATTTTCCTGACCTGTGATAGACACATTCCTCATGCTATGTCAACGGGCGTCGTTCTGGGTGTCTTACTTCCTAAAAATTAGACGATACAGGTAAAACGATCCTATTTATGAAACGATGAAAGCATAGGTTCTTAGTTCTTAGTTCTTCCCGATGACTTTGTGAGAATATCTGGTCAAACAGGCTGTATATTAACATGACAATAACATAACCCTTTCCAAACTCCAAAAAAGGTGAAATCTGCTGGATGTGAGTTATTGAAAGATAAGCATTATATTAACAACTTCATGTCAATTCATCATGGGAGGAACTTACAGATCAAAACACAGTCCTTTAAAGCTAGCTACCTTTAGCAAGTGTTATGGTGGCCGTTTTGTAGCTGACAGATAGAGTCGCCACTACGAGTTTTTGAAATCTTGGTGAAACCAGTAAAGCAGAGTGTTGTTGTCAGGAAATTGGCACAGTACACTGGGAACTGCAATACCTAAACTGACACTAATCAATCGAGGGCGAGTAATTGAGTTAAACGACGATGTCTTGCCATGCATCGCACAAGTATACTGAAAAGGGTAATAAGTTAGGAAGTAAAACTCTGCCTAATCCAGGATACTCGTACTGACCCTCGTCAACCGCCCTCTAGTCTTTCAGCATTTCAGTATGTGAGGAAATCCTCAACAAGAAAAGTGCTGCTAGAGGGCGTTCAGAAGTTTCTTAAAAGAATGAAACCTAGAATTTCATAGTAATAGATCGAATATTTTGCTTCTGCGATTTAAATATTGCTGGTTTGATTTTTTTTCCAGAGCTTCTCCAAGCAACCATCTCTACGTGGTAGGAAAATTGGTATCGGGGTTGTATGGGGGATAAAAAAAAGCACTGACGTGATATAGCAGCGTACTATAGCTTGAGTATAAACCAGACATGCATTCAATCATCTTTAGTGATGCTTGATAAAGATGAATTCATACCACATCACAAGGGGATTGCTCGACACCGAGCGCTCCATTCTCTATGCTTCAATGGAATTATATCATCTGCATTTATCACACGCTTTCTAAAGAATTGCTGCTATATTTGCGACTAGAAATTCCAACGTTGACTCTTTAGAAGCACGCGGAATGAAGAAAGCTGTAAGACATTGATGTCTACCAGAGCATTACAATCGTGTAAGTAGTAAAAATTTAAAGAATTTGCTAAATAAGCGCTGTTTATAATTTCAAATGGGAAAGGAAGAAAGAGTATTTTAGGCTCTGGAGGCATTCGCTACTCACAATGGCAACTCCTACACGAATTTAGCTTTGCAGGCGGACATCGAGCTGCTGTTCAGCAGCTGCCTTGCAAGCGTCGCCTTCTTCGTCTCTTGCAAGATGATCGAGATCTTGCGGTAAGCACAAGAACTTCCTTCTGGTTCCACAATACCGAGAACACCGTTACAGCTTTAATCGTCACATCGCCATTTTCGCCGATACGCTCGACCATGCCGGCGTGCCTATCAAGGATTTCGTTATTTCCTTCATTTTCATAATCTGCGCCTTCAGCGCCTCCCTCTACTGTTTGCATTGGAACCAACTGGAGAGGTGGTTGAGTTTTCACAGTATTTTTCAGAATTGGTTGAGTGCAACCGCTGCCCAGTCTAAAGATAATTTGGAATGAAACGCTCTCATGTTGTAGATTACAGTTCGCCATACTTTGTATTCCGCCATCTGTGTTGTGTCATTGAAGGAAAGTCCGAGATTTATGTTTCACCGAAACCTGAAAATTTGATAGCACGACGAGTTGCGATAGATATCTGTGATAGTTTGCCAGTTAACCTCATTTCTAAAGTTAGGTGTAAAAGAGACCTTATGGTGTTTCACTAAATCATAAGGACTTAAAAAGAATGGATGAAAATTCTTGCACTTCTACTGAGGTGATAGCTTGCCATACTTTCAAAAAGAGAAAAAGGGTAGAAATCAAGCTGAATTTTTTTGAGAAGTACTGTTTCAGCTATAATTCTGCAGTTGCAACGTTCAGAACAATAACTGCGGGGATGCTAGGCAAATTCGTTGTCGCCGATGTGTTCCAGACGAGCAAGTTGTGAACGCAGGTTTTCACATCGCTCAGTTATTGTCAATAGTGAATGCCCAGAGTTCTGCTTAGTATGCTCTTTAGTAACTTTCAGTTTTCCTAGGACTACGGGTCTTGTTAAAATCCATAAAAATCAGTTTTCGATATGGAATAAACGCATTTGTATCCGCACATGCTCTTACCAACAGTTGACGCTTCACAAAAGTATTTCCGCAGTACTAGTAAAAACAAACCCAGTCCGTTACACCACTGGGTAATTCTTTTGAAATGTGCTCACTTCTCAGCTGTGAAGTCGCAATTTTCAGCATCTGTGATCTTCATGGTGTTCATGTAATCACGGGCACCATGTTCTTCATCAACATCTCCGTCATGATCATCCTCTTCGAATTTAAAGAGGTCCTTACACATGGACATTCATACTCATTTCATCGTTAGCTATCAAGGTCTACAAAGTTCGAACAGACTATCCTTGCAGGTGCGCAACAATAATTCTCGACAAAGCAACGAGTACGAGATTCTCGCGCACATCCGCTCGAAGGTAGAATTTGAACTAAGTTTTCCTTCAACAGCTGTGTTTTGTCGTAATGTCTGCTACCATTTTTCGAATAGCATGATACATACAGTTACAATAGTTTTAGCTGCAATTATTGGTTACAATTGCTTATCGGTACTTCTTTGTCCAGAAGAGATTGACAGAGAAAGAACAAAATTGCCAATGTCTTCTTTTCAATTGTATTTTTCAGTTGATGCGTTTGCTGGGTCTTTACGGACGCCATGAGGCACATGCATATTACGTACAAGACACTCTGACGGACTTTAGTCTTATAGATGTGGGAATTCGAACTTTGCATGAGTATATGTGGCGTTTTAGAAATCGATTAGTTTTGTTTCGTTTTGAGTTTGTATGTTGTTTGCCTGCGCGCTTGTAGCACAATGGTGGTTAGAAGTGTACTTCAAAATGCTAGATCAAACCTTGGTGCTATCCTGCGCCACGGTGCTTACTCAGTCTTCCGTTCCTCTGTAGTTGGGAAATTGGTACCAGAACTGTACGGGAAGGTAGCAGCACTGGCTGGATACATCGGTAGGCAATTGAAAGCCGTTATAAGGCCAGATATAAATTCGGTCATATCCAGTGATGCTTAATGAAGTGGAATACATGTCGCATCTTTCAAGGATTGATCAACGTCGAACCTTTTTGATGCTTCATGTTGTGTAAAAGCTCTCTGACCACTATTCTTCAGTGTGTCCCAACTACCTCTGACGTCATCAATTTCGCGAACTTTTACACCGTTGTTCGAAGTATCCCGTGGAATTAATTAGTTCGATTCATGAGGAAATTCGGCTGCTGTGCACTGCTAAAGTTTGTATTTCGAACCATCGAAGAAGGCTGCTTGTCTCGGTTAGATGTAGCGGTGGAGAAGAATAAATATGTTGGTCGATTCAGGGTGTTGGCAATGAAACGACGGCTCTTACGCTTGTTTTTATGACTGAACTAAAACCTTCTGTGCTCCACCGAGTTGCCTACACTCTAACCTGCTCCGTTCAGATGAGACGGACAAATGTCTTCAACAGTCTGATCAGGTAGCAAAACTACCTCGGCGGCAGGCATGATATTTTCAGTGATGGCCGAATTATGAATAAAGTGACATGATCATTCGTATGTATGTGTTATTTCTCTTTTTTTTTGACAGCACATGTACAGAAATTGAAGAGAAGAAAGCATTGTTTTAGTTGCTGTATCAAACAACTACTCCTTGAAGGCTCCCAAATTTCTACGAGGTATTAATTTTGACCATTGCACACCAAATAAGTATCCACATCTACTGTCCGGATCCCATCATTTCTGGCATTCATCATTCACGAAGATTTTCCAACTTTTCGCTTGTGGCTTCGGCTGGTGCTTGAGAATTTTTCTTTCGTCATGAATGTCGTTGAATGCTGATAAAATCGACTCCCCGTAGAGTCCTGAGATAGTCCTGAGAGTCCTGAGTCTAAAGCTTTCTCACTATTCACGCAGACAGTGGGCTTTTCCAAGACAGGCTTTCCAGACAAGTCTGGTACCAATTCTCCGACCCCAGAGGGATAAGAGGCTTCTTAATTTCGTAGTGGTTCGAGCCACCAACGTTCTCGTGATTATTGGCATCACCACCAATGTGCTACCCCACCTCTCGCCATAAGCAACGACTATGGAGAAAAAAAAATATGGACCTAAATGGCAACAGTTGAGTCGTCAACACAGTTTGCCATTCGTTGTCTGTTTAATGTTTTGTGCAAAATGTAAATATGTAGATGAATGTATTGAGTGGCGGTAAGAATACCACCTTATGAAAGCGACACCCTAGGCTATTCCCACTTGTTAGATACGGATAAACAATGCTTAATATTAAAAGTTTGGAGTTAATTTTACGATCCTCGCACTGCAGTCAACCAAAAAAACTCTGAAATGTTTCCGATAAACGTTAATGGCACTAAATTGAAGCATGAGGTAAATCTCTAACGATCACTCCTTCTTTCGTCCTCTTCTTTCATATATTGAAGTTTTAATTCCTCTCAGTCATGTTAACCTTTTGTTTGCTGCGCACTGTAATTTTTCACAGCAGGGTATGATGTGAGATACAACCACAACAATGCTAAGATATTCGCAAAACTTGGACCCCGGGCCAGATCGAAGCACGATTACCCTTTCCGGCGCTCGCGTATTACACACTGCACCACGGAAGCTCCTTGCTTTGTGTTTTTCTCAGATAGTTTTCTACCGAACTCTGGGACTGGGTTCAATGCCGATTTTTTTTCTCACTCACTTGTTCTCACATCACTGATAAAGAGTAAGTGCACTTAGCTTCCAAAATGAACAACACGTGATCACGTGCTTGGGCAAAACCTATCTAGATACTGGTTGCTTGCTCTTCACTACCAATGGCTGTGATCGGTACGTGTTGTTTGTTGGAGAAGTCTGTCTCGTCCAGTGTTATTTTGCGTTGAGCTACGCATGCGGCGGGTCCTACATAGCTCAGTACGCTCCAGGCACAGAGAGATCACATCAAGTGCGATCAGGCTCCATTTTCCAATATTTTCAAACGAACAATACGCTAGTTTGAGTGGAGGAACCGTAAGATGACAGCGTGTAATCTGAGCTGTTAACTCATAATCATATCAATGCATCAAGTACAGAAAAAGATGCTCCTGTAAATAATGACTTTGGCTAATTGTTTACCACGAAACTCCAATCTTTTTGATCAATCTTTGATAATCTTTAATCTTAGGCTGGGCCGATCTTCTCCTTCACCGACTGCAAAGATGACGAGTAAACGGTCGAAGCAAGTCTATTTGCGGATAGAAGAGCTTAAGACTTGCTAGTTCTGATGGTAGGCTAAGCTAAGAATTGCTAGTTCTGATGGTATGCTAGGCTGACGAGTCCGAAACGCTCATTATTTACCGTATGTGAGAACTTTTATTACATTTTTAGTGTGTTGACTCGAAATTACATATTGCGTAGAACGTCAATCAATAACATTCTTACTAATAAATGAGTTTGAAGAAAATGTCTTACTATGGCCACATATGCCTATAAGGGTTAGGGTTTTTAGAAGAGAAAGATTCAGTGGCCTTTAACAGTGCAAGTGGAGAACATTAGAGGGTGAACACTCGAAGGCAGTCAATATCACCACGAAGTGATCTGCGGTGAATCTACAATCATTGTTCATTTCCGCTGGTTCACATGTTTATTTACTATCACCACACGTCTGTAGTCTTAGTGATCTATTCGGTAGCACGAGTAAATTCTGAATTTGGCGCTACTTGGTGTAGAATCTGCTTATGCTTTGATACTGTACTATCCATGCATTTACTTCAAACATTGGCGCTAATCAATCGTTCCATAGAAATCACGCCGCGCACCTTACAGCGTAAAGTCAAATGAGTAACAGACGAAGCATGATGCAAGCTTTAAAAGCATCGCCGCGCACTTGTACTGCTTTAAGCGTTCGTAACTTTGCTCTCATCTCCACCCTCTGTTTAAATCAACTGCATTGGTTAGAATCCATACAGCGAAAGACAAACTCTTGATATTGGTGTGATAGACTTTTGGTCTTATCGGATTCTCATCATTGCACTGCCACAACAAATTTTGCTCGAATGTGGAGAAAACGGTGTCACATTAGGGTTAAAATACGCACAGCATAGCACCAGAGTTTCAGTTTCAAATAAATTGCCTGAAGACTTGAGAAAATGGAATAGTTCTTTTTCGAAGTTCAATTGCACCAGAAAGGTAGAAAGAAAGCTTCGTTATGCGCCGTTTGCAAAATTCCTCGCGAATTCACTTCTTCCTGGTGTTCGACAGTCTTGGTAGACGATCGAATGCGGCTCGATGCTGGACAGTTGGATTAGAACCATTGCATAAAATGGAAGACTTGCTTGAGCAACTCGCATCTATCGACGCAGGGGCCTTCATCTCTTTCTGAAATTTCACATTATTACGGACTGAATTCCTCATCTGCACCTCATTCTATCAGTAAGCACTTGAGTCCTATTCAATAAAAAATCCTTATAACGTCCATATTATAACAGTTATTTTGAAACAACAATTTGAGCAACATTAGTGGAAGCATCGACAAAATACTAATAATATTAGTAGTTGCTTCTTGAATGGTTTTTTCAAAAGGAATCAGGAAGGGTTCAGCACAACTAATGATTGACTGATATTTTGCTCTTTGGCCAGGATTTTTCACTCGGACGCTCGAAGCAGAGTTGCAAGGGCGTCAGCACGGAAGTTCTCCGTTGTCGCCAAAAGTTTGCCATTTTGCGATTTGTTCCGCTTTAGGGCAAACAAACTGTGGAATTATTCAGAGTCAAGCAATTTGAGCTGTCCTTGACCAAGAAGGATGAAACCCGTTGGTTTTACTTCCAGATTTGAACTAAGCTGGTTAAACGACCAATAATTTCATGAAAAAAAATGATGGGTAATAAGACCATGCAGGACAAGGGCTCTCTGTCATCAACCTTTCACATGTGTAAATGTGCCTAACGATAGTACACTCATCTTTGAGGATCACTTGACAGAAGACAGTGCACTTGAAGAACGAAGTGTAGGAAAACCACACAACTACTAGTAAATTGAACAAATGCTCAGTACACGAAAAACCTCCAATCCCATCAAAAATAAATCGAAACGAAGATAAATCGGACCACTGATATATGAATTAAAGACTCTTACAAACGTGAAGAATAAAGGATAGGACGGAAGGACACAAATGACCGAATCAGACACTTGACAAGAAATTCGAACAGCATTTATATAAGGCTAGAAGGACTGCCGCCACATTTTGGAGATGAATCCTTCGAGAAGTGTTCGTCTTCACTACCTAGTAGAATGTGCATCCAAATCGAAACAACAATGGGCAGGTCACAGT